GAATGCAACTAAATATGAATATTAATGAATATACTCGTTGGTGATGAAATAAAAGCTGCAGAATATACATTTTTACAAGTAACATTTCTCTTTTAGATAATTTATAAGCAACAAACTACAAAAAATTAGACCTTTTATTGCTTCCATAACATTTTAGCATTTGTTTTTAATGCCTCCTGGAGAAGATACTAAGTGAAAAGGGGAAAAAATGGCAAGGGAAAGGGGGTTCATATGATTGACATTTGCTTTGCATTATTTTCATTGTTTTTTTATTAAGATAGTTACATAGCACCCCTTTCCTAAAATTCAATATAACAGAATATAGACATCATAAGCACGTGTCATTAGTTCGTGAGACAATTTGCTATTTAATCCTTATTTCAAATTGACATTGTTAATGTGTACCAACTAGTTCTCTGATAGACCCCATTTTATTGTTGGCAGTGTAAACATTATAATAAAATAAAAGAATTTTTATTTATTTTATATGCTTTAGAGACTAATAAACCATTTGTTTAATAGATTTGCTTAAAGTAGCAAGAAAAATCATATTAACTTAGTTCTCTGAATCACTAGGTCAAGCAGGTTATAATACTGATCTGCATGTTTTGTGTATTTTTCATTTTGATTATAGCTTTAATAGTAAGCAAAGGAAGATATTTCATCCAGCTATGCACGTTCTTTGATAGATTCTTAAGTTATGTATGATTAAAGCAGCTTTAATATTTCAAAATGATTAAGAGTTGAAAAAAATGCTTGTTACCACACTATCATTGTAATTGTATTACTCAGTCCTCTGTAAAACAAGAATTCAGGACTAAGTGAAACTGTTAGTGAAAACACTTGGATGACTTTATTGGAATAATTACATCTATATAACAAAGTTGAGCTTACTATGTTTGACATTGTTTTTCTCCAAAGTATGAATATTAGTTTTAAATCCATATATCAAGATAAGCACTAAAACCTAACAATCTGTTTATCACTGGTTCCACTTCAACCTTACTTTATTTGTGAATCTTGATACAATAAAAGAAATAGTACTTTTTCCCCTAGACAAAATAGGTCCTTGAAAATAGTATTTGTACAATCTAGTTATTCTTATAAGCAGTCAAATTCTAAAAAGAGAATAAACAGAATTTTCAGCGTATCAAGCCAAGTGTACCAGGTGGATTCACTATATGTATTTCTATTTCTTCCTATTATAGCCAATAATAAAATGAGAGTAAGTGAAGAGAAATAAAAATGAAGGGTTAATTTCAGGGTAGCAATGTAGTAGTTTTTTATGCAGTTTATAAGCAAATGACATACGCATCACCATGAGGCTGACTTGATAAAATGAAGACCACTTATAGAAGACAGTGATTTTCAAACCCACTCCTCAGATCCAAACAACTAAGGCTCTAGCCACCACTGACTTTAAACAGAGCAGTTCCACTTGTTAAAAAAATCTACTTAATATATGAGGATCATGCCTCTGACCTAACAAAACAAAAGCTATTTACCTGATCCATTTTTAGTGACTTGAATGAAATCATCCTCATTCTCATCACAGCTTTCGCAGTTCGATTGTTGGACTGTTTCTGACAGGCTTTCAGCTTGATTGACATCTTTCTGCTTACTGAAGCTTTGAAGTGCAACAAGACGATGATGTATTGCTGCATACAAGTATGCTGTATCTTTGGCACTGGCCTGCGTGAGGAACATTACATTGTTAAGAAAATCATTAATGTTAGCTACATTTTACAGATTTTTAATCTTTCACTACTAATAAGGAAGGAATTACATGGCATAAATCTACAAATTGGTACATAGGTGCTAACAACCCTAAAAATTAAGCAGTAAAAAGACAATCTTGAACTAAATTGCGTCCTAAAATGTATACTTTTATAAGCAATCCCAATGTATACATTTTAAATTGAGAGAGTGAAATTTTGTTATATAAAATTTCTATTTGAATTTAAATTAGTTAAGACCATCCCTCCTTCACTATTTTCACTGTAGAAAATTGTAGGCTTGCAGAGAAAAAAGACTTCCATTTCCTGTCCATCACTTTGCTTGGACATTCCTCCAAACTACATAGCTTTGTGGATATGCTGAGCTCATTAGAGCAGTCTATGGTATTGTACCATAAATACATCAGAAGTTCTTGCTTTTCAATATTTTTCTACACTATTTTAATGGTTGTTATTCATATGAAAATATAAAAATGGTAACAATAAAGTTGGGATAACTTACTGTTAAAATATTGTTTTTTTCAATTCCTTCAGTAAAACTGTGGGTTCATTATTAATTTCGTTTATATTAGCAAAATATAGGCAGCACAGATACTAAATATAGCTTGTTTCCCTCTTCCCTTTATGAATGAGGAAATTATGGCTCAGACGGGTAAAATGACTTGTCTGAGTTGCTAGTCAGCCAATTGGCTGAAAGTTGAATCCCAGGTTTTGTCATTCACATTAGTGGGATTAATGGAATAAATTATGGTCCATAATAGAATAGAATTCTTTCAACTACTAAAACAATTTTTGAAGAATAAACTAATATCATGAAGACACTAACATCGATAAGTAAAATATGTATTTCACAATCATATTAGCTTTTTAATCTCAGCAGCTTTTCTAAAGTGTACTATTGTTACCATCATTTTGCAGATGAATAAAATCAGTTTAAAGAAGGCTAAGTAGCTTTCCCAAAGATTATACAGTATGTACACTATGCCACATATATGTATGTGTGTATATACTTATACCCAGTTCCATGTATATACTAAAATATAAGACCAAAATGTTAATAGTGACCATCTCTGAGGATGGAATCTAGTCATGATTAACAGGCTCAGTCTCTGGCATGCTACTTCCCACCTAAAACCAAGGGGGAATCTGGCCCAGAAGACTGGCAAGAGTATTAATACCTTAAATGGTAAATACGGTTTGTACATCATCTTACCTGAACATTTTAATACTCAATATCACTTACACCTAACAGTACACTTACTGGTAACTAATAAATTTGGATTTTCATCATGGGCACCTGCAAACTTTTTTTCCATATTACTACATGGAAACCAATTTATTTGTATTGTCACCTTCTGCCTGAACTTGGGTAATCAGTCTTCTCCAGTCGGTCCATGGGGAAATCTAGTTTTTTTGCGGGGGAGGTTGTGGTTTTGTTTTGTTTTTTTAAGGCTTTATTCTTGCCAGCTCTCTTGGGTCTAGATCTTGTATTTGAGGTCAAGTATTCCTCTGCCAGGAACAGCTAAAGCTGTGCTCCCATCCTGTTACCTTGGAGATTTACTCATGTCCAGAATTGGAATTTGCTGTTGGACTGGTTGTTTTAACTTGCTAGCTCTGTATTTTTCCATTTCCCACTGGTTCTTTTCCAGTGACCTAAAGCCTTTTTTCAATCTCAGCTTGCAGGATAAGCATTAGGCTTCAAAGTCTGCTAACCTCTTCCTGGGAACCATTCCTGACAATAGTCACTTTGGTAACACAGTAAGATTGTTCACAAAATTTCAGTAGTAAAGGGTAGAGATTTGATGGCATGTATCACACAAATGTCTTGGAATGAGTACGAATTGATTACATAGACTTTGGTGTTAATTTCTGAATTTCACATAAAATTTATGTCTTATACTACAAACAGACATAACGAATGGCTGTTTTTGCCAATGGTACATATTATTATAACAAATGAAAAAACAAATTAGTAATTGCAGACATCTATTAATGTAGTAGGATAATCCTCTATCACTGAAATTTCTCACTTACCTGAATTAAAAATACTTTGATGCTATAGTCTTCTAAATCAGTAGCTGTTATTCGTACATTTTTGTGGTTTGCTCTTTGAATCTTCATTTGGGCCCAGAGTTTGCTATTGAGGATCAGCCTTAAACTGCCTTGATTGCGCATAACTAAAATAGGAAGTTGACTACATCAGGCCACAGAACAGTTGACACAGAGGAATTTACCATTTTCCAAAGCAAAATAAATCTTGTAGTTGTTTTTCAGACTGTAGATTCAATACTAATTTGTGATTTGACTAGATTATAACTTGGTTTTCAAATTGTACTTTCTTATGTTGGGAGAACTTTTTTATCTTAAGTGCTGAAATTACACTTTTCTACTGTAATATTTAAAAGTGGTTAAAATTTTAGAACTCCTTTTAAGAACTGATGGTCTGAAGAATATTCGTCTGCGAATTGTTTACAATGAAGAAAACCAAAACAAAAACCTAAAGTGTCCAAAAAAATGGAATTAGTTAAATAAATTATGGTGTAGTCATTCAAGAGAATATTATGAACCCATTAAGAATACTGCAAAAAGATATTTATTGATGTGGAAAAATCATGGTGTAATATGTAAAAGAAAAAAATAGGCTACAAAGCAAATTAACACCATGAATCAGAACTTTTACAATCTATGTATACGTTTATATATACAGAAAACAAGGGTCAGAAAAATATATTCTGTTAACAGATGTTATCTTAGGAAGATAGGCCTTTAAGTGATTTTTTAAAAAATTTTTTCAATCCATGCTTTCCAGTTTTTACAATGAATGGATATTACCTGCATAATAAAAAGAAAGCTGCTTTTGGGTTTGTTTTTTGTTTTTTATTTTTTGGGGATTTTTTTTTTTCCTTTGGCAGGCAGTAGAATCAAACCAGAGTAGTAAATAACTAGCAGCTGCCTTGGTACTATTACTTGGTTGGGTGATTAGAAATCTGCGTGCCTGTTACAGAACTGAAGACACTGTTTCTATCCTTTTAGTCTGAATTATATCTCTTACCCATTTCTTGAGCTTGATATCCAAAACTCAACAAATAACCTTATTCTTGGATCCAATGTCTACCTGTGGTCTCCTCCAAAGTCTTGACCTCTAAAAATTGACCAATAAATCCATTCATCCTGCCCAGATCTCTCCCTGTGCTGTCTTTCAGTTTGGACCTCTGAACAATGCCCATTGTGTCATTTTGAATGATAGCTCTCTTGTATTTTTAGGTTTGACTGGCTCCAACTTCTGAACATCACTGTGCCTGCAGGATTCAATAACTGCACACCTTGGAAACTAATCTCTTTCCTCAGAGACTAATCTTTCATCCTGACCCCCATCCCATGTCTGGGATGCCCAGGACAAATTATGGGGCAAGTATTTTCTTTTAGAAAAGCTTTTCACTTTACAAAATAATTTGCATCATATTATTTCAAATAATAATAACATTACTATTTAGGTGTGTGCTGGGCTCTGATATAGGTGCTTTACATGCTTTATCTCATTGAATTGTCTCAGTAAGTCATGAACTACAGTTATTCCCATTTTAAACTGATATAAGTACAGTAGAGAAAGAGATTAAAAAACTTGTCAAGGTCACTAGTTAGTCACTGCTGGAGCCAGAACTGGAGCCCATGCAGTCTAACAGGAGAGCCTACTTGAAATGGGAAGCTCCTATAGAAATATTTTCAACAGTCTGATTTTTTTTGGTGTATTTTATAGCACATCTCCAGAAAATGATATGTGCCTGTATTATTATAGGTACACATGAGAAATCCTGAGAAATCATCGCTTGCTTTACAAAAGGATTCCTTACTTAGTCTTGACTGTAATGTTCCACAGTCACTGCTTGCTGTATCATTCAGTCTCAACGTTCCTCTGCCCCTTTCAATCCAGGATTGTGTTGTGTTGTTGAATATGAAAAGCTTGCAGTTGATCTAAATAACAATTTTTTAAATGTCAAATATATAGAAAATTTTTTCAAAGTAAGTTACTTCCTATGTTATGACACATTTATATGTGTCTGATCTTTTACCAAAATAATCTTCGTTAGTGATTTTTAAACCAGCTTTTAACATATATTTAATGTTTAGAAACATATAACTTTTGGATAGTTCAAACATCAAAAAGTAAAAAGACATACAAAGTGAAAAGGGGCCCCAGCTTTTATTTCCCATCTACCAATTTACACCCCTGCAACAAGTAACCACTGGTGTAAAATATTTTGTTTATCCTTCCAGAGATATTTGTACATATATACATGCCAATACATATAAATGTTCCCCCTCTTTTTTTCTGTCAGTGGTAGAATGCCATACCTACTTTCTGATTTTTTAACACTATATATACATCAACTTTTATATTAATTATTTGAGCTATATAATGTTATTTGAAAGTAAAGGAATCACTGAACCATTTGCATGCTTCGAAATTTTCAAAGACGGCATGATAATGTGGAGAAGTACGATGTAATGCCACAGGTTACCCCACTACAATCATTACTACTGTGTACAAGAATCACCTAAACAGCCTGTTAAAAATACAGCATGTCAGAGCCTCACTCCTAACAATTACTTCAATAAGACTGGAATTAATCTAATTCAAGGGTTATGCTTTGAGACACAGTTGAAATAAAAGTGTCTGTAGATCATACAGGAAGTGGAAAGGAATGGAGAGAGTTTAGAGAAAAGTAGATAGAGAAAGGCAAAGGGAAATTTCTGCCTTGTTGGAAAAAGGTAAAGTCGTAGTAATTACATTTCATGTGCTTGTGCTGATGGTGATACTACTCAGCATTAAAATCCTGTGATACTGTAGTGTATATCTGTGAAATTCTTGAATTACATGAAATTCTAAACTTTTTTAAAGGAAGCTAAATTTATGAAATTCTAAACTTTTTTAGGAGGAAAACAAAATTCTTATTGGACTGAAATCAAAGTATCAACATTGTTAAACCTGTGTAAGTAGAATTATTTAATCACAATAATAGCACTAATTATAAAAGCAAATATTAAAGCAGGATACTTGGCTATCATATTTCTAAGGGACTAATGTGAATAGTTGTAAAACTAACAACCCATTTTCCTGCAAAGTACACATACAAACATAAGAAGAAAATAAGTTACTGGTGTAATTTTTGAGAGCGTCCAACATTTTTATTTAAGTAACTTAGTCTCCATGAAAACTATACTTCTGTCTGTATTTTTAAAGATGTCTCTTCTCATGTTAACTTTATTCCAAGTATGTAAATGCTACCAAAAAGAGTAAAACATGATATACAGACCTTTAACACATTATGTTCTGATTCCTCCCCTGTTATAACATCAATTTTCTCCAGCAAGCATTTTCGTGATGGTTGGGAAGAGAATGCAGCAGCTGATTCAGTTAGGGAAGTATTTTTAATAGAGTCTGTTCCTAAGAGAAAATGCGGGAAAAACACTGAAAAGTCCCCATTTTCTCTACTGTGAAAGTTCTTTATTGCCCCTATGACTACATATATCTACTTGGCTTTTTCTAATAGTAAGTGAGATTCCAAAAATTCAAACTGCTTGAGTTCGTGTAAAATCTCCTTATCGATTCCCGCATAGCATTAACTAAAAAAATTATTAAAGCTTGTATATCAGATAATGATATTTATATGCTTTAATCTTTACCAAAATATTTGAAACACTGAATTACTGGTTTTTAAAATCTTATATTAAATATTAATTTTACTTATATTAAATATTAATGTTAATAAATAACATAAAAAGACAAACTAGGTGAATCTAATGTTTTACAAATGAAAGAATTCTTACTTGAACTTAAAAAGTTGACAGGAAATTTCGGAGTGGATTTGAATGGCTTTTCCTTGGCGTATGAATCATTTTCAAGTTGAGGCTGGGTGAGTTTTTGAGTACTCTGAGTGGGGAAAAAGATGCATTATTAATTTTATTTAATAAAAGTTTTAATTTTATCCCTATATGTTTGCAGTAAGACACTTTCATTTTTCTGTTTCAACACAGCAAATAAGCCCAGCTGGTATGTTTTTATTTTGGACTTTCTATGTGCTGAACAGAGAATTCGTCTCCATTGTTAGAAAGCCTGAGTTCTAATCCTCAGAAAATGTAATCTAGTTACCACCAGCCTACTTCAGGTGGGATCTAGTCCCAGAGGCAATGGGAAAGGTCTAAAGGTACAAAAGAAGGTAACAGATGTTCCACACTCTGACTAGACTAAACTGATGCCCAGGAGGTACAAAAGAAAGAAAGAAAATGTGCCTTTGAACACAGAAGTTAAAAGTATAATTCAATTTAATATTACTTTTAATTAATTTACCTTTAGAAATTTAAAGTGACAGCTCTGTATATAGTAACAGAAACATACACCAAAGTATTTCAGTGTCCCCAGAAATTTACTCTTGCTATCCACTTTATGGAAGAAAACAAAAAAGTTATCCAGAGACCCCCACAAGATGTCTCAGCAAACATCTTTGTAGAAAGAATCCTAACTTTTCCTCCCAGACAATTTTTGCCAACAGTCGCTTTTAAGGCTACTTGGGGCCCTGTATGTCTGTTGTAATCAAGGCCTGCACAAAAAAGACTAATTGACATGACATTTGCGATAATGTGTAGCCCTCTGCAAAACACAGAGAATTGGAACAATGATACTTAAGAATTTATGCTTATATTTTTTCCCTTATGAACTGAAAATTATTTCACATTACTTAACTAGACATCAAGATATTCCCTTAAAATTGGTAGAGATGGGTATAATTATTTCCATTTTAAGAAAGTAGAAACTGAGGCACAGAAAGTTTAAATGACTCACTCTAAAAACACATAGTTAGCCAATAAGCCAAGAGTGCATCCTGGCCCCCAAATCGCAAGGCCAAAAATTTACAGGATTAGAGGACAAACACAAATTATCTCTATAATTCCTGTTATCCTTAAGATATTACCAACTTAAAGAGATAGAGAGTTCAGGTTCCTTTATAAACCAAATTTAAAATGCCCATAGGAAATGTGCACAAGTGCCTTCTCAAACCAAACCTGTAGTCCTGACTATAGTTTATTTGTATAGGTATCTCTCTGTCTGCTCTTATTAGATGATAAGCACCTTTAGGGCACAGTGTCTCCTTTAGCTTGCATAACCACTTACTCAGGTGGTTTTCAAACCTGCCTGTACATTAGAGTTGCTTGACAGCTGGCCTCACCCACAGGCATTCTGAGCTAATTGGTCTGATGAGACCAGGGGTAAGAAATCCTTAAAAGGATGATTCTAACAGGCAGCCAAATTTGAGATCAATGCTTTATATACCATAAGAACTCAGTACATGTTTGGTAAATTGAGTGAAATGTAAAGTTGATCCTGTGAGGTTTGAAAAGCATTGTCTGACATTTTACAGATGCTGTGGCAAATCTGGTGTCAAACTTAGAAATAAATGATATGGAATAAATGTGCCTAAATATACTGCCTGTAAATTCACCATGGAGGCTAGTCCGTTTTGGTTCATATCCAAAGGCATAGCTCACAGGTCTAGGATTGGTGAGTTGACCTTCATTTTGGGAATGACAGAAGGGTTCCTAAAATAAACTAAGCCTTTACAATAACTAATATATGAAAGCCCTAAAAATTTTGGAATGAGTTTGGGCGTGGTGGCTCACGCCTATAATTCCAGCACTTTGGGAGGCTGAGGCGGGTGGATCGCTTGAGCTCAGGAATTCAAGGCCAGCCTGGGCAACATGGTGAAACCTCATCTCTACCAAAAATACAAAAAGTTAGCCAGGTGTGGTGGTGTGTGCCTGTGGTCCCAGCTACTCGGTAGGCTGAGGTGGGGGGATCCCTTGAGCCAGGGAGACAGAGGTTGCAGTGAGCCAAGATCATGCCCCTGCATGATCTGCATGTCAGCCTGGGTGACAGAGCAAGACCCCATCTAAAAAAAAAAAAAAAAAAAGAATTGGAATGAACTGGCTTAACGAGTTGGTTCTTTTATTAATTTAAATCCGTACATGAGTTTTAAAATCTCTGCAGCTTCTTTGGGATTCTTCATGTAACTGGTATTCCTGAGACAAGCTAGGCACGTTCAAGCTATCTCAGCCACTTTCCTGACTTGAGTGAAAGCTGGAAAAGGTATGAAGATGTGATTGACCAGATAAAACCATAGGCATGGTTTCCCACAGCTTTCACTTTTCTGTACAATTTTCCACTGTAGATTACACTGTCTTAGAGATCAGAGTTCTGTGGGGACCAGAGAAGCAGTTACCTCATTGCAAGAGGATGCTGAGCATTAAATAAGAATGATGGTAATAACAGTGAGGGGTTTTCACTAGGCAAGTAAAGCACTATGAATTTTCTCTGAAAGCTAGGGAAAGAAAAGTTATAATAATGCTTTTTGA